CTCAGATTCTTCACCTAGGACGTTATAGGTGGTCCTGCGCACACCAGTCAGCTTCTCAATGTCTCAGATTCTTTAGCTGGAATAAATACATCAAGAAAGCTGAGACATGTCCCCAGTGATCATGCAGTGTGACTAATAACCAAGTAACCAGGTATCCTCAATATATGCAGTTACTTTGATTTAGCAAAGTACACTAACACCTAATACTTCAACCACATGTCCTTAAAGCCTGGTGATTGATATCAAGCATTCTGGGGAAGGCCAAGCATTCTGGGGACTCATGAATTCCTGATATAGCATGCAAAACTGTCGGCGTAGCCACATGTGCCTTTCAGGGAAAATAAGCCACTGCTTTTTTTTTTTTTAAATCATGCTCAAGGATAATCCTCACCCCAAGATGTTAACAAGAAACAGTAAGTAAACTATTATCTCAGGACATTTTATTTCTAAACAAGATGATTAGGAAATCGTAAAATCCCTAAAAGTTATTCCAGTTATTTTCTCTCTCCCTCAGCCCTAAAACAGGGTAGTAGTTCTCCCAAACTGTTTTAATATCAAACATTGGTAATAACTTCAGAGCCTCAGTGTTGCAGACACCAGCTCCACTTTATGACTGCACGTGGTTCTAGGAAGGACTCCTGTGCCCTGCAGATGCTCACCCAGATGCCCCCTACAATACACAAAATTGCTTCAAATAAATGCCATTGATTCCACAGTGAGTAACAAGGTTTCTATAGCAAGTGTCCTGGAACTTTCAAGTAATGCATGAGAAACGGCGACTACACCTTTCCTGAAAGTGACTCTTGACTCTTAGACCAGGGCTGGCCCAGGGCCACTGCATCCACCAGGTCAGTTTCCAGCTGGCCCACGTCCGATGATGGGAGGCTGAGCTGAAGAAACCAGGATGTGAGCAGCTGAGGGGTGGGGAGTGCCCAGCTGACCTCTGGCATTTCTACCACCCGGCCAGCCTGGCCCCTCCTCTGGGCATGGAGGCGGCGGCAGCGTGGGGGGCCCTGTGATGCGGCTTCTCCCAGCATACCTAAAAGGTCCAGAATTGAGGCAAAACAACAAAGTATGGCTTCCTTTTTCATTAGAAACTTGAGTAAAACCAGATTTTCAAAAGACGTCAATGAGAGATATGCAAAAGCTAGAATTAGTTGAATACCAGCATTCCACTCCTATTGAACTAATGGAATATAGATCCCAACGGACAGTGGGTTCCAAGGAAACCACAGAGGCCCTGATGTCCAAGAGCTTCTGTTGTATTTTCTTATGCTAAAAAATGTAATTCTTCCCCTCCTTTTCTAAGAACACTCTAAAGATGTGGTCTGCCCGTTCTTAGAAATAATTGCTTCTCTCCCAGAGCTTACGTGTCTTCACAGTGATTGCAGACCACAGGTGGAATTTCAGGTGTGCTTGTTAGCAGTGAATGAGAGCTGGCAGCTCTGCTGCCTTTCTGTTTCCTTGGGTTTGGTTTGGTGGCTCAAGCTGCCCCGTGCACTAGAGGAAAGAGAAGTTGGTCAGGCACAACCAGGAGCACCGGGTGAAATGCAGGGCGCCCAGTTACATTTCCTTTTGTTTTGCCATTCATAAAAAAACAATGAATACATGGTTCTTTATGTATTCATTTTAATTTTAAAATATTAAATCAACAAATAAGAGTTGACTATATTCAAGGTGTGCAGGGTGATGGTTTGATATATACATTGTGTAATGATCACCACAAATTAATTAACACATCTGTCACCAGCCATAATTACCATGGTGGGGGGTGAGGATGCTGAAAATCTGCTGTCTCATCCCATTTGCAGTGGACAATACATGTTATTAGCTAGAGTCCCCACACTGCACATTAAGACTCAAACTCATTCAACCTATCACTGAAAGTTTGTGCCTTAGACCGACACCTCCTCGCTCCCTCCCTCCTCCCCTCACCCCAGGGATCCTGGCAGCCACCATTCTACTCTCTGCTTCTGTGAATTCCACTTTTCTAGATTCCACAGATGAGTGAGGCGGGCATTAGTATTCATCTTTCCATGCCTGACTTATTTCACTTAGGATGGGGTCCTCCAGTTTCACGCACTCTCGTTGCAAATGGCAGGGTTTCCCTCTTTTTTTTTTTTGAGACAGGGTCTTGTTCTGTCACCAGGCTCCAGGCTGGAGTGCAATGGTGCGATCTTGGCTCACTGCAAACTCCGCCTCCCAGGTTCAAGGAATTCTCCTGCCTCAGCCTCCCAAGTAGCTGGGACTACAGGCACGTGCCACCATGCCCAGCTAATTTTTGTATTTTTTAGTAGAGACGGGGTTTTACCATGTTGGCCAGGATGGTCTCGATCTCTTGACCTCATGATCCACCCGCCTCAGCCTCCCAAAGTGCTGGGATTACAGGCGTGAGCCACCGTGCCCGGCTGATTTCCCTCTTTTTTAAAGCTGCCTAATCTTCTGTTGCATGGCCGTACTGCATTTCACTTCTCATCCACTGAAGGACACTTGAGGTGCTTCACCCCAGGCTCTGGCTCACGATGCTGCCGTAGATGTGAGGGGACAGGTATCTCTTTGAGTTTCAGTTGTTTGGGCATTGACCTGCTTGGCAGGCAGAACTGCAGCTTCCCCGATTTTACATTCCCAGAGGGCTCTCATTTCTCCAGGTCCTCACCAACACGGCATTTCCTGGTTTGGTTTGGTTTTGCTTGTCTAATAGCCGACCTAATGGGTGTGCGATGGTATTTCATGTGGTTTGGATTTGCATTCTCCTAATGATTAGTGATGTTGATTACATTTCCATGTGCTTATTGGCATTAGCACATCTTCCCTGGAGAAATGTCTGTTGAAGTCCTGTGTCTTCCACTGAATTTCAGATAAACCATAAGTAAGGTCTTTTAAGTATATATGCGTGTATGTCTGTGTGTATATATGTGTGTGTGTGTGTGTATATATATTATATTATATTTATATGAATATATATTTATATATAAATACATTTTTATTTGTAAATATTTATATATGGTGTGTATGTATGTATATATAAATATTATGTATATAAACACACACACAAAAAAAGTGTGTGTCTCACACAATATTAGAAATGTCTACATACTAAAAATTATCTATTGTTTATCTAAAACTCAATTTTAATGGATGTCCTGAATTTTTATTTGATAAATTTAGCAACATCAGAAAGTAAAAACTTTCATAGATCTAGAACAATCCTTAAATGTCTTATAATTTTGCTAAGGTAAAGTTTGAAACAGTTTAGTGCATTTTTGTGTTTGGTTTGTAGCCCTACTTTATTAAAAAATGTAATTTCATTTTGAGATCCTCCAGACTAAATCATTTGAGCTTCACACTCTTTGTGTAACATTATTGGACTCCCTTAATGAAATTATAACTCAAGCAAGATATTTCATTCTCTTGTAGTAAATTAGCTTGGGCTGCGAGGGTTTAGGAGGGCAAACCCTTCCCTGGTTTATTTTTGTTTGGGAGAACAAAGAAGGCACAGGCAATTTTATATTTGAGTTATTTATTGTTCTCTCTGTTGCCCATCCCTACTGAAAACAACAGCTGTTAACGGGCTCCTGAATGAATTTCACTGTGAACTCTCCTGGCCTCTGGAAATCTTGGCTAGGGAGAAAACAGGCTCAGGCTCAAAAGAAAAAGAGCCAGTTTCAGGCTGGGTCTGGACACCTGACGGCCAAGGGCAAAGAAACCAGCAGTTCATGTTTTCTTGAGAAATCGCACTTGGGGCAGGTACACAGTGCCACAGTGAGGCACCTGCAGAGAGCTGTCCTTATTACAGTTTGATGTAAACTCAGTGACCTGCTGGGAAATCCCGCCCAAGGGTGTCCACAGCTTCCAAAGGAGAGGGAAGGATCCCGCGTAGCAAAGCAGCCAATGCCACAGCCAGTGCCCTGGACCCCAGGAAATGGCTCTATGGCGCTCTGCACTGTGTTGGATGAGTGACGCTGCTATTTCCGCCTGCGGCGTCTTAACCAGTGTGGTCCAGGTTCCTAAGGGCACACAGCAAACCGCGCGCACTGGAGGGTGCCTGGGAGTGAGGGGCTGTCTTTGCCGTGTCTCTGTTGGAGCCTTCTCTGCAGGGCAGTGAGTTCTGAGTGCAGCGGTTTAATTTAGGGGTGGAAATCTCCAAGATAAGGAACTTTTCTTTGGATCCCTTTATCAGTCATTTTTATTTCTGTCGATCATACCTCAAATGCACCATTTCTTAATCTCCCTGTTGAGGAAGTAAATCGCTGAGACCGTGAGAGTGGAAAAGCATGTTTTGTTAGTGAGGAGCAGCAGTCCTGGTGGGATCTGCTTCCACAGCCATGCTGCACTGAGTGGTGGGACCCAGGAGGCAGGGCCTGCTTGGCCTTTGCTCACCGGCCACAGGCTTCAGGCATCAAGGACGCTTGGCCATTTCCGGAATTACTGTGCATGCTCTGCTCACGTGGCGAGCTCCTCCTCCCCTCCTCTGCTTCTACCAAACGCCCGCTAAGTGACAAGTCCTTTATTTTGAATGCATGTCAAGTCCAGAAAGCAAATTCTGCACTCACAGGGAAGGATAATCTTGGCTTTATTTGCACCATTCTCTTTTAATTGTGAGATTGTTTTACGTGTCTTAGTTCATCTCTGTGACATGATCTTGACAGAAGGCTCTGCCCTACCCAGGACCTTGTAAACAGATGCAAGGTCGTCACCCTGGAGACAGCTGCTTAAAGTTTTAATGGATGTAGGCAAGATGAAGGGAGACACCAGAATTAGGGAGAAAGAAGGAAGTCGTAGAGTTTTAAATTAAGTGGAGAGAGGAATTTGATAAAACGCTGTCAGATAGTAAAAGAATGAATCAGAATGAAATGGCTGAAACCGAAGTGACCTCTCCGCCTCCCTTGTCCAGCCTTCAGTAATAACAATTTATAAAATCACTGAGTTTTTCTGAAGCTCCATGTCAAAAGTGCATTTCCTGTTCTTTTCTTTCCAGATAAAGTAAGCATACTGTCAACCTTCCTCGCTCCCTTCAAGCACCTGAGTCCTGGCACCACAAACACAGAGGATGAAGACACCCTAAGTAAGCGGCTTCCCTTCCCCAAAGTAGACAAAGGCCCCTGTGTCATGTGTGCAGGGATTCCCCTGCTGTCCCCAAAACCTGAGATACCTGGAGTCATCTGGGGGCTCTGTTTGGCCTTACCTGGAGAGACGGTAGACAGTATCTGCTTTCATTCTGCCACAGAGTGCCATCTTCTCCCGCAGTCCCACCCACACCTGCAGTTCTGTCCTCATCTGTGGTCCCCTTCTCATTTGAGGTCCTGTCCTCACCCAGAATCCCATCTCCACCTACAATCCTGTCTTCATCTGAGGTCCTGTCATTACCTGGGGTCCTGCTGTAACCTGCAGTCCCATCCTCACCTGGAATCAGCCTCACCTGGCATTCCTTCCTTACCTAAAGGGCAGGAAAATGTCAGTAAAGTCTGTGGGACTGAGAACCCCAGGGATTCCAAGAAATTAACCAGTTTTCTTGGGCTATTTTCTCCTCTCCTTCCTTTGTTTTTCCTTCCAAACCGGAAAGAACAATAGTCACGGTGTCTTAGAACACAGGTTGTACACGTATTTAACAAACAAAAGGCTGGATGGGAGGCTTCCTGTGCAAACATTTCTGGTGCAGGAAACTGAAAAGGGCCCAGGCAGTGTCCTCAGCATGGCACAGGTTGGTTTAGGAAAAGGATCTGAGTGGTGTCTCAGAGGCAGACAGCGAGGGTGGGCATCCAGGAGTGTGTGGCTGCAGGAGCTGGCCTCTGGTTCGCAGTAAATTGTGTGGCATTTAACAGAGGACGACACATTCCACATCATGTGGACAGCTCCTCAGATTTTACCACCGCCTGGCAGTTGGCTCCTTTTTCAACCAGGAAGAGGTCAGCACACGCCTGTTGCCATGGGACAGGAGGAGGCAAGGTGCCCTGGGTGGCTGCAGTGGGAGGATCTGCAGGGGATGCTGTGCACCTTGCCATCCACCTGGGAAACACAGGCCCTGCCCAGCCCAATAATCATTAACTGCATTGGAAATAGAGGTCGTTCCGTAAAAGCACATCACAGCCTTTGAGGGTTAGGACCAGAGTGAAGGTCAATGCCTTCTCTTGGACCCCTTCTCTTCCAGACGTGGAAGGAGGGAAGTAGGAGGAAGGTGATCCAGCTCGAGAGGGCTCAGCCCAGACTCTGTACTCCCTCCCCAGCTCCCTCCTCACTTGAGTCTCGACTCAAGTGAAGCTTTGACACAGGTCATTTCTGTTCTCTGGTGAGCCAAAATGGAAAATTTCCAGATGAGTCCATTTATTGATCACTACTTCCGAAATCCGGGATAGAGAAAGTAAAAGCACACAACAGACCTGTATATGTGTGCATACACACACACACACCAGGAGCACACACAAACCCCAGGGCACACATGCACACACATGCACACCCCAGGAGTGCACAGATACACATGCAAACACACACCCCGGGAGCACACACACACACACCCCAGGAGTGCACACACACATGCACACACACCCCAGGAGTGCACATACACACACCCCAGGAGTGCACAAATACACATGCAAACACACACCCCAGGAGCACACACACACACACCCCAGGAGTGCACACACACATGCACACACACCCCAGGAGTGCACAAATACACATGCAAACACACACCCCAGGAGTACACACACACACACCTCGGGAGTGCACACACACATGCACACACACCCCAGGAGTGCACATACCCAGGGGTACGCACATACACACCCCCCCCCCAAGCTGAGCCTGAATGTGGACAGACGTACCTGGAAACATGTGGAAGGGAAGTCACTGTCTCCTCCTCCTCCACACCTGGAGCTGCTGGGATCCTGCCTGGAGCTGGTCTCCCTCAGGAGAAAAAGAAATGAAGCCTCAGCAAGGGCCAGAGGATGTTTGGGGCACGGAGCGAATGTTTTATAACTTACAGAGCACAGCGGCTGCCTTTCTGTAGCAGCCAGAGGCCAAGACCTGGAGAAGTAAACTGCCTGGCTGCATGGGGAAGTTACTGAGATTCCTGAGAGATGGACATACCCACCCCACGCAGGAGCTTCTCCTCCCCCTGCCCCTTCCTTAAGAACCCCGACACTGGGCAGTTAGGAGAAGAGGGGGCCTGAGGAGGCCAAGACTTTCTGGAAGCCTCAGGCTCTGTCCTGGCAGCCAAGCTGCCTTGGGCTGTGAGCATTAGCTCCCAGAGCCTTCCGCTAATGGGCAGAAACTTAGAGCTAACGATAACTTTACATTATTTACAATAGTTACAACGAGAGCTACAGTGCTCTCCAGACGCTTGAGAAGCCTCCTTTTCAACCAGTGAACTAGTTGCCCCCCTTTGTGCAGATGCAGCTTATTTTAGTTATTTTCATAGATTGTTCAAAGACAAATGTACAAATGAATCCACCTTCCCTTCACAGCTCCCGCAGCATGCACTGCCAGTGCAGCCTTATCCAATTGCAATCCAGACGCACTGGAAGGTAGAGAAAGGTGTGTAGGGGGGTGTGTGTGTGTGTGTGTGTGTGTGTGTCTGTGTGTGTGTGTGGCATGTGTGGTGTGTGTACATGTGTGTGGCATGTGTGAGTTCATGTATACATGTGTCATGGGTGTATGTGTGCATGTGTGGTGTGTATGTGTGTGTGCATGTGGCATGTGTGGTGTATGTATATGTGTGTGCCATGTGTGAGTTCATGTATACATGTGTCATGGGTGTATGTGTGCATGTGTGGTGTGTATGTGTGTGTGCATGTGGCATGTGTGGTGTGTGTACATGTGTTTGGTATGTGTGAGTTCATGTATACATGTGTCATGGGTGTATGTGTGCATGTGTGGTGTATGTGTATGTGTGTGTGCGGCATGTGTGGTGTCTGTACCTGTGTGTGGCATGTGTGAGTTCATGTATACATGTGTCATGGGTGTATGTGTGCATGTGTGGTGTATGTGTGTGCGGCATGTGTGGTGTGTGTACATGTGTGTGGCATGTGTGAGTTCATGTATACATGTGTCATGGGTGTGTGTGTGTGGTGTGTGCACAGGTGTGCGTGTGCGGCATGTGGTGTATGTGTGTGCCATGTGTGAGTTCATGTATACATGTGTCATGGGTGTATGTGTGCATGTGTGGTGTGTGTGGCATGTGTGGTGTGTGTACATGTGTGTGGTATGTGTGAGTTCATGAATACATGTGTCATGGGTGTATGTGTGTGTGGTGTGTGTGGTGTGTGCACAGGTGTGCGTGTGCGGCATGTGTGGTGTGTGTGTGTGCCATGTGTGAGTTCATGTATACATGTGTCATGGGTGTATGTGTGCATGTGTGGTGTATGTGTGTGCAGCATGTGTGGTGTGTGTACATGTGTGTGGTATGTGTGAGTTCATGTATACATGTGTCATGGGTGTCTGTGTGCGTGTGTGGTGTGTGTACTGTGTGCACAGGTGTGCGTGTGTAGCATGTGTGGTGTGTGTACATGTGTGTACCATGTGTGAGTTCATGTATACATGTGTCATGGGTGTATGTGTGCGTGTGTGCTGTGTGTGTGGTGTGTGCACAGGTAGGCATCCGTGTGTGGCATGTGTGGTGTGTGCACATGTGTGGCATGTGTGGGTTCACGTGCATGTGTGTCATATAAGTATGTGTGTGTGGTGTTTGCGTATGTGTGCATGTGTGGGGTGTGTGGATATATATGGCGTGTGTCTGTGCACGTGTGCATACACATATGTGAGGAGTAAGGGTGTAGTAGGAGCACACATGACCTTGCCCTGCCGCCTCCAGTCTTCGCATTTCGCACCCTGTGAGTCTGTGTGTCTGGGGGCCCCAACATGAGCACAGTTCCCATCCCACCATGGCGTGGATTCCACCTTTTGGCTTCCCTGTGGATGCCAGAACCTCACAGAACCATGGCTTTTGTCTGTGGCCAAATGCCCTCATCTATGGGCGCTTGGTGGGGGACAGACTCGCTGGGCACACACCATGCCCTGTACCTGCAGCAAGTGGGCCAGGAGCCACAGGGAGAAGCCCGTCACCCAGAAGCTGGTCTGGGCTGAGTGGACCGAGCAACTCCATGTTTCTCAGTCATGTCTGCCTGGGGCAGTTCACTCTGAGGAGCTTTCTTTTCCAACACTGAGAAGCCATGAGTGCCTGCCATCTGTCCTCTGTCACCTCTCTAATGACCACTGCTCAGAGGTTGGGATCCAACCCAATTCTTTGGGGAACAGCTGAGCCCATGGCTGCCCAGAACAAAGGCAGCTCTGGGCCCTGGAGCTGTGCTGGAAAGGGGTCTCCTGACAGCCACACCTGCTCCTTCCTGAGTCCCAACACCCCAGGCCCAGCCCCGTAGGGTCCCGTGTGACGAGCCTTTGAAGGAGGCCCTTCTGCAGCTACCCAGCCTGCCAGTAACAACTCTGCAAATGCCAGGAGCCACTGCCTCCCACCCCCAGGCCCAGCCTCCCTCCTGCTGCTTCCAGACCCTCTGCTGCGCCCTGGAGAACCCCGGCACCTGCCTTCCCATCGCTAAGCCAGGCTTCATGTAGGGAAAGGGCTGCTGGGCCGCAGAATAACCTTCACCAGGAACAACATTATCTCTTCCAATGTAGCGTGGCATGCCGCCTGGCTGGCTCCCAGGAGCCCGTCTGACCCACAGACACGCAGCATCATTATTAGTGATGCGTGTGGTCCCAATGATGCCATGCAGGGGAAGCCGGGCGTGCATAACGGCCCAGCAGAGGACGAGCAGCAGGAGCCAGAGGAGAGGGCGCCTGAGCTCTGCAGCCAACGCAGCCCTGCACACGGCGGGTGGAGGGCGGCCAGACCCACCAGCCCCGGCCCCACCTGCTCTCCACCAGCTAGGACATCCGGCTTTGCACAGCCAAAAGAATAGCTTTCACTTGGAAAGCAAAAGTTTCACCACAGTCATGACAATGTAAATGTTGGCCTTTCTCCCTAAATTGCTGTCCTTTAGTGCATTAAAACTTGAAAGTTAGCAACACATTTACAGACACCTTGTATCAGCCCAGCATCACACTCACAGA